GCAATCATTTGATACGTCGTACGACACGATGAACACCTTACGACTATTTTATTAAATATTGACTATTAAATGAACAGAATAATAGATCATAGGGGGAGGGGTGGGAAGAGGGGGTGGGTGGGTTGTTAGTGTGTATCCTGGTGTGTAATGTGTCTCCGATGTCCAGCTACACAGTAGTGCGTAGGTTTGTGATTAGATTTCCAATCATAAGTACTCAATATTCTGCATTTTGTTGTATCAATTAATTAATACTGATTTGTGGGTGCAGTGGATGTGCAGTTACCAACAGTAACCCACCAACGTCGAACTGAACGAAAGAAGATATTGCAGACGGTGTCCTTTCGTCCTTTAGCTAATGTAAAGGTGTACAGTACTTGGGGTAGTGGGGTAGTCTAGTGGTTAAAGTGTTCGCTCGTCACGCCGAAGACCCGGGTTCGATTCCCCACATGGGTACAATGTGTGAAACACATTTCTGGTAACCCCCAACCTAATATTGCTGTAATATTTCGTTTTGATAAACGTATATTATATACGCAACTGATATAAGACGTCATGCATCAACCAAGAAGGGTTGTATTCGGTCTTCAGACCCTATTTCATTTTGACCTTCATATTGTGTTGTTACATTGCGACTCTAAGTCCTTTAGGTCCTGCCTTCACGCTAACCCTCAAAGCTAGTACATTTTTGTACAGCTGCCTTCATTTAGAATCTATGTATTCCATTTATGTTAAGATATATGTCAAAATAAATATACGTTCACGGCGTTGTCTCGAATGGTAGTTACCAGTTGTTGAAAAGGAGTGTGGCGTTATAGAACAAACACACAAACAGTTGTTTACAGTTAGAAAGCTATTAGAAAATCTCTGTTTCTGTCCATGCAACACAGTGTGTGGAGGGGCTATCCATCAAGCAGGGGAACACACGACACCAGTGTGGGCGGGGCTTTCTATCAAGCAGGGGGACACACGACACCAGTGTGGGGCGGGGCTTTCTATCAAGCAGGGGAACACACGACACCAGTGAGGGGCAGTGCTGTCTATCAAGCAGGGGAACACACGACACAAGTGAGGTTGGGAGCTGTCCATCAAACAGAGGGACACACGACACCAGTGAGGGCGGGGCTGTCCATCAAGCAGGGAGACACACGCACCAGTGAGGAGAGGAGATGTCCATCAAGCAGGGAGACACACGACACCAGTGTGGCGCGGAGCTGTCCATCAAGCATGGGGACACAGGACACCAGTGATAGGCGGAGCTGTCCATCAAGCAGGGGTAGACAAGACACCAGTGACGGGCGGAGCTGTCCATCAAGCAGGGGGACACAGGACCCTCGTGAGAGGAGGAGCTGTCCATCAAGCAGGGGATCACACGACACCAGTGAGGGGCAGAGCTGTCTATCAAGCAGGGGAACACACGACACAAGTGAGGTTTGGAGCTGTCCATCAAACAGGGGGACACACGACTCCAGTGAGGGCGGGGCTGCCCATCAAGCAGGGAGACACATCATCAGTGAGGAGAGGAGATGTCCATCAAGCAGGGAGACACACGACACCAGTTTGGGGCAGGGCTTTCTATCAAGCACGGGATCACACAACACCAGTGAGGGGCGGTAGTGTCCATCAAGCAGGGGGCATACGACACCCGTGATGGGCGGAGATGTCCATCAAACAGGGGGACACATGGCACCAATGAGGGGCGGAGCTGTCCATCAAGCAAGAGGGTACACACGACACCCGTGAAGACGGAGATGTCCATTAAGTAGGGGGACACACGACACCAGTGAGGGGCGGAGTTGTCCATCAAGCATGACGGTACACACGTAACCAATGACTGGCGAAGATGTCCATCAAGCAGGGGACACACGACACCTCTGAGGGGCGAGACTGTCCATCAAGTAGGGGGACACACCACACCAGTGTGGGGCCGGGCTATCCATCAAGCGGGGGACACATGACACCAGTGAGTGGACGGGCTGTCCATCAAGCATGAGAGTACACACGTAACCAATGAGTGGAGAAAATGTCCTTCAAGCAGGGGGACACACAACACCTCTGAGGGGCGAGACTGTCCATCAAGTAGGGGAACACACCACACCAGTGAGGGGCGGAGCTTTCTATCAGCAGGGAAACACACGAAACCAACGAGTGGCGAAGATCTCCATAAAGCAGAGGGACACACGACACCAGTGTGGGGCGTGACTGTCCATCAAGAAGGGTGACACACGACACCAGTGTGGGGCGGGGCTATCCATGAAGCAGGGTGACACACGACACCAGTGAGCGTCGGGGCTGTCCATCAAGCAGGGGGACACACGGCAACAGTGTGGGGCGGGGCTGTCCATTAAGTACGGAGACACACGACACCAGTGACAGACAGGGCAGTCCATCAAGAAGGGGGACAAACGAAACCAGTGAGGGGAGGGGCTATCATTCAAGCATGGGGACTCACGACCAGAGTGAGGTGTGGAGATGCCAATCAAGCAAGGGGACCTACGAAACCAGTGAGGGGCGGAGCTGTCCATCAGGCATGAGGGTAAACACACGACAGCCGTGAGGAGCGGAAATGTCCATTAAGAACGGGATCAAACGACACCAGCAAGGGGCTGGGCTGTCCATCAAGGAAGATGACAGATGGCACCATTGAGGGGCGGAGCTGTCCATCAAGCATGCGGGATACAAACGACACCAGTGAGGAGCGAGATATCCATCAACCAGAGGGACACACGACACCAGTGAGGGGCGGGGCTGTCCATCAAACAGGGCGACACACGACACTCGTGTGGGGCGGAGCTGTCCATCAAGCAGGTGGAGACACGACACCACTGAGGGACGGAGCTTTACATCAAGCAGAGGGAGACACACGACACCAGTGAGGAGCTGAACTGTCCATCAAGAAGGGGGACACACGACAACAGTGAGGAGCAGAGGTATACATCAAGCAGGTGGAGACAAGACACAGGTGAGGGGCGGAGCTGTCCATCAAGCAGGGGGAGACACACGACACCAGTGAGGAGCGGAGCTGTCAATCAAGGAGGACACACGTCACCAGTGAGGGGCGGAGCTGTCCATCAAGCAGGGAGGCACACGACACCAGTGGGGGCGGAGCTGTCCATCAAGCAGGGGGACACACGACACCAGTGAGGCGCGGAGCTGTCCATCAAGCAGGGGACACAGGACACCCGTGAGTGGCGGAGCTGTCCATCAAGCAGGGGTAGACAAGACACCAGTGAGGGTCGGAGCTGTCCATCAAGCAGGGGTAGACAAGGCACCAGTGAGGGGCGGAGCTGTCCATCAAGCAGGGGTAGACAAGACACCAGTGAGGGGCGGAGCTGTCCATCAAGCAGGGGGACACAGGACACCCGTGAGAGGCGGAGCTCTCCATCAAGCAGGGGTAGACAAGGCACCAGTGACGGGCGGAGCTGTCCATCAAAGAGGGGAGAAAACACACCTGGAGGTGCGGAGCTGTCCATCATGAAGGAGGACACAGGACACCCGTGAGAGGCGGAGCTGTTCATCAAGAAGTGGCACGCGACACCAGTGAGGGGTGAGATGTCTAACAAGGAAGGGGGACACACGGCACCAGTGAGGGGCGGAGCTGTCCATCAAGCAGATGGCGACAAGACACCGATGAGGGTGGGAGCTGTCCATCAAGAAAGGAGACATACGAAACCAGTGAGGGGCGGAGTTGTCCATGAAGAAGGGGGATCCACGACACCAGTGAGGGGCGGAGCTGTCCATCAAGCAGTTGACACACGACACCAGTGAGCGGCGGAACTGTCAGCACACCCACCAAGACACCCAGCAACACATCCACCAAGACACCCATCAGCACACTCACACAACCACCAAGACACCCATCAGCACAGCCACCAAGACACCCAGCAACACAACCACCAAGACACCCATCAGCACACTCACACAGCCACCAAGACACCCATCAGCACACCCACCAAGACACCCATCAGCACACTCAGCAGGACACCCACCAAGACACCCATCAGCACACTTACACAGCCACCAAGACACCCATCAGCACACCAACCAAGACACTCATCAGCACACTCAGCAAGACTCCCATCAGGACACCCACCAAGACGCCCATCAGCACACCCACCAAGACATCCATCAACGCACCCAACAAGACACCCATCAGGACACCCACCAAGACGCCCATCAGCACACCCACCAAGACGCCCATCAGCACACCCACCAAGACATTAATCAGCACACCCACCAAGACACTAATCAGCACACCCACCAAGACACCCAGAAAGGCACCACCCACCAAGACACCCAGCAACACACCCACCAAGACACCCAGAAAGGCACCACCCACCAAGACACCCATCAGCATACTCACCAAGACACCCATCAGCACACCCACCATGACGCCCATCAGCACACCCACCAAGACACCCATCAACACACCCACCAAGACACCCATCAGCACACCCACCAAGACACCCATCAGCATACTCACCAAGACACCCATCAACACACCCACCAAGACGCCCATCAGTACACCCACCAAGACACCCATCAGCACACCCACCAAGACACTTATCAGCACACCCACCAAGACACCCAGAAAGGCACCACCCACCAAGACACCCAGTAACACCCCCCAAGACAACCAGAAAGGCACCACCCACCAAGACACCCATCAGGACACCCACCAAGACACCCATCAACACATGCACCAAGACACTAATCGGCACACCCACCAAGACGCCCATCAGCACACCCACCAAGACACTAATCGGCACACCCACCAAGACACCCAGAAAGGCACCACCCACGAAGACACCCAGCAACACACCCACCAAGACACCCAGAAAGGCACCACCCACCAAGACACCCATCAGCATACTCACCAAGACACCCATCAACACACCCAGAAAGGCACCACCAACTTACTGAAACTTTCTGAATGTTTTAGAAATGAATCATAGTCCTGTCAGTTCTCATTGTACAGGAATGTGTTTCCACTGGTGTTCATCATGACCTCATCGTCATGGATGAAGCATTAACAGAAGCACTTGAGTCAACAGATTGGTTTGTTTGTTGCAGGTACCGTCCAGCTACCTGATCCTGTGGGTGACCGTGGACGTCTTGTCAGCTGTGATAATCATCACGGTGTTTATAGTACAGAGGTGTGTGCAACACTTGAATCCCATTATGTTGAATCCCATTGTCCTCGTTAAGTGTGCCCACGTTTGTATCATATAACTGTTGTTGAAGAATGGTATACTGGTGTGACTTTTCGTGGAATGATAAGTGTGGCGCCGGGTTCCCTGCAGGTTGTGCGTTTGTCCTCTGAATTTTATACATGCATCTGACCCGTGAAGGTCCCGGTTAGAATTGGTCTTCAACAACACATGCTTATCGTAATAGCTGACTAACGGGATTGGGTGGTCAGACTCGCTGACTTGGTTGACACATGTCATTGGTTCGATCGTTAATTGATGCACATATTGTTGATCACTGGTTTGTCTGGACCAGATTATTTACAGACCACTGCAATTTAGTTGGGATATTGCTGAGTGTGGCATTAGTAAACATAGAAACAAACAAATAGAATCTTAAAAATAGTTTGTAAAAGAACTGTATTTGAACACTGATTATATCGTAATCACATACAATAAGTATTGACACTGAACTTTTCAAAAGATGTGACAGCCTCAGACATGTGACATTCTGCTTTCAGAATCCGACTGTATGGGACTTCATTTAGCCCTGAAACCTTCTCCCTGAACAGCACGGCCCGCAGCGCTCAGGAACACCGATCTCGCAATATGAAGGAGAAGCTGCTGTACAACATGACGGATGGGGACCTCGTGGAGGAGGTGGATGTACGTGCTGGCCACGGCGGCGTGGTCAACCAGCCCGCTTCATCGTACTCCATGGCCTTCATCAACAACGACCCCTACTCCAGTAGATACCACAATGGAAACACCTTCCCCGACAGCAAGTACGAAGTGGAGTAGGACAGCGATCACGATGACAATAGTCTTTCTTGCGACACAAGTTTGGATGCAATATTTTTATCTGTGTATCATGTGTATTTGTTCTCATGGTATACAGAGCCTTGTGAGCTTATGTTTCTTGTCACTGAATGTCCGGTAGCCATCTTTGTCAAAGGCAGTAGTTTTCTGTGTGTGAACCTGTTGTGACATGGGATCATTCCAAGAGAATTGGGTTCATCGAGTTGGTCGTTGTCATAAAAAGGGAAATCATTGTCAGATAGAAAAAAAAAAAATATTTACATGATACAGGGGAATGCTGAACCAGATGACTTCTTTTCGGATTTTCAGGGAAGTCAGAATCTGCAAAGTGTTCCTCATCCTGTTCCAAAATGTTCCATTGTTGGTTTTGGTGGGCAAGATATCATCATCAAAACTTTGAGACCATTATTGGTAATCAGGCTTTTTGTCTGCAACTGAGAGAAACTGCTTGTTGAAATGACCTGATGTGAAACTTTCATGATCAAATGTCAAGAAACTGATCATATGTAGATCAATGGTATGCGTTTGAAGCAAGTATGGCGAACCTGTTGATCTTTGATACCGCTGTATGACAGGATACTTGCCTCAACCTGCTATGTACTGCTGCCTTGGTCAGTGTGCGTGACACGGAGGATGAACGATGTTTGTGTGCACTGTGGTGGAGTTTAGCCCTTTGGTTTTACCAGGTATTTTGAAGGTGAGCTCCAGTACCAGACTTCACGGACAGTGATGGTCAATCCAGACACAGACTTTGGTTTACTATCAGTTGGTTTATGAACAAATGAACACCTGAATGAGAAAATTACTTTTTTTATATTGTGCATGAGATGGGGTTTGGGCTTCAGGGAGAGAGGAACTTTGTTTCACATTTACGTGTCACCTAGAACTGTATTATGACTCGAAGGTGGACCATACCTGTGTACAGAAACTGGTGTTGTTACAGTTGTCAATACAAAGCTCTGATACCCACCTTGATGTTACCAACTGATACTTGTGAGTGCCAGCAGGAAAACGTCACGCCGAAGACCCGGGTTCGATTCCCCACATGGGTAAAATGTGTGAAGCCCATTTCTGGTGTCCCCCGCCGTGATGTTGCTGGAATATTGCTAAAAGCGGCGTAAAACCAACACTCAATCAGTCAGTCAGTCTGTCAGCATGAAAAAGCTGAACCAAGCCTAAATCAGTTTTAACTTTGTCGTCCAAATTAGAGCTTTAAGTCCCAGTGAAAACTGGTTGGCTTTTCATCCATTGATAGAAATTCATAATTCATGGAAGCTTTTTGTTAATTTTCTACCACCTCCTTGATTTTGGCCCCAACTGATACTAAACAACAGATTGTGTGTGAGAGAGCCATGTGTGTGGACAAGGTGTTTTATATGGTGCACATATTTAAAATATTTATGAAGTATTATTAGAACATTTGCATATCATCCAGGTATTCTATATTTTTGTACTGTTTGAGGATGCTGATCAGACATGAGCAATACAGTCAAGTAGGGGTGGGTATTGCAGAGAATTTCGATATTGTGATATATTGCGATGCGAAAGCATATATTGCGATATGTATTGAAATATATTGCAAGAATTATTTTTTAACAAAAACTAATTATAATCGAGTTAATGCTTGATTATAAAGCAAAAACACAACAAAATGACTATGATTGATTAACCTTTAATAAAAACTTTTAATCATGACAAAATAAAAATGTAAGTAATATTTGGGGCTAATGAAACAAGGAAAAAAACAATTTAAAAAGTGGAAATATCCGAAGATTTTCGAGTGTTACAAGGTTTTCCGAATGCATGTCAAAATACCGGTTTGCGATCAACGTATCGCAGTACGTATCGTTTTCATGTCTGAACCGGTAAATACCGGTAAACCGGTTGTATTGCGCAGCCCTACAATCAAGTTTGTATCTCAATCAAACTTGAGTGAGGATGTAGCTATGTCCGCTGATCTGATTATCTGTGTGTTGTTGAAGACTTTACAGTTTTGTTGAATCTCTTTTAATGCTGTTTTATTACAGTCCACCGTCTGTTTGTCCACGGGTATTCTTCTTGCACATTGCCCTGAAGTTGATCCATTATATTTTATATGCCAGTTGGAAGAACAGGTTTGAATACATGTAATTATGAGTAGTTGTTAAGCAATGAGTATAAGCAGAGTATTTCCGGAACATGATACAGGTGTAACTGGTGTGTAACTTGTTCGTAACCAGAGCTCACCCATGTGTCACCGGAGCATACCCCGAGCATAACTGGTGTGTAACTAGTTCGTAACCAGAGCTCACACATGTATCACCAGAGCATACTCCGAGCATCACTGGTGTGTAACTAGGTCGTAACCAGAGCTCACCCGTGTATCACCGGAGCATACCCCGAGCATCACTGGTGTGTAACTAGGTCGTAACCAGAGCTCACCCGTGTATCACCGGAGCATACTCCGAGCATCACTGGTGTGTAACTAGTTCGTAACCAGAGCTCACCCGTGTATCACCGGAGCATACTCCGAGCATCACTGGTGTGTAACTAGGTCGTAACCAGAGCTCACCCGTGTATCACCGGAGCATACTCCGAGCATCACTGGTGTGTAACTAGTTCGTAACCAGAGCTCACCCGTGTATCACCGGAGCATACTCCGAGCATCACCAGAGTGTCACAGGTGGGCAACTAGTCTATTAACGGAGCTTTAACGGAACCTCACTGTAGTCAGTTCTTAAACCTAAACTCTGTGTACAAAGGTAAGATGACAACAACTAATTTCTAATCATCATTTACATGTACTTGGACATGCTACAAGTTTTACACTTTTTCACCTTTACAGTTATATTTTAGTTTCTCAGTTTTGATGGCTTGTTATACTGTCAGTATCTGAATCAGCATTAGTTGTATTACACCAGGAACGTTCCTATAATAGTCCTATAGCACAGGGACCAACAACAGCCAGCTGCTGTGTTGAGAGAATCCCAGAATACCGTTCCACAAAGCTGCCTTTCCTTACCAAGACTTACATGAAGACTGGCATCGGTCTGTGGATCTGGATCTAGATGTACACAGTATTTCAGCCTAAATATATAGCATCTTATTGTTAATGTTATCTGTGTCACAAGAAGGGAGTCTTTGCTTAGTCATTGCCACGGCTGTAAGAAATAATGGTGAGAAACCAGTACGTTAACAGTGGTGTCCAGTAGGGCTGCAACGATTCGGTGTGATCGAAAATCAAATCTGACCCCTTAGTTTGAGTTTTGATAAGCATAATATCACTATTTCGATTCGATATTTGAATATCTATTTAAATTATTTCCACAAAGAGAGAATGTAATTTTGACTCCAACCCATACAGCGCTTAAATTAGGCGAAACGTGATTGGTTGATGCTGGACTAATTATCCAATGAGAACTGTTGATAGTAGACAATACCAAAGTGTTGTTCTGTTTTTAAACATCGTATTATATATTTTTTTTAATTGTTACATCATTTACATTCCTGATTTCCTTGTAAAATCTTGAAGAAAGGTTATCAATGTGATACGTTTTGTTTAATAATTTCTGAGAGTTAAATGAAATCTGATGTTTTTTGTATGAAGAATCAAATCGAAAATGATCAAATCGAGGGTCCAATATCAAAACTCGAATCGAGGTCTGCGTGAGTCGCTGCATCCCTAGTGTCCAGTCTCTTGTGGCGACTGACCACAGTGTGAAATATACAAATGTATTCACCAGAGGTGTTTCAGTTGCAACCTTAAGTCATGAAATATACTCCTGTACCTACCAAAGATTTTGGCTCTTTTAAACCTGTACATGCATCCCATAATATACGGAGGCTCTTAACAGAGGATATATGTCACAATGTTTTAACTCCTGTTGGCAATTAGTCCTCCTTCTTTTGTTTCAATGGTTTTCCTCGTCTGACGGTTTTCTCCCAGTCATATTTTGTTGTTTTATTTGTGAGATCTGTTTGACACGAGCAACACCCGGGTTCCAGCTTGCCGCGTATTTTCATCAAAGGCTGAAATGCTAAATATTACTTGTATAGTTTGTATTTATAACGTGACATTATATATTTACATGACATTCTCCACATGCCTTAATAAGGGACACAATAGGCTACAGGTACATCATGCACACATGTAGACGACAGAGGTGGGCATGTAGATACAGGTACATCTGCAGATTACAGGTATATCATGCACACATCTTGACGACGGAGGTGGGCATGAAGGAACAGGTACATTGTGTTACTGTGTGGACACGATATGCTTGTAGATGCAGCTTGGAATAGGTTAGTGAGAATCTCAGACAAGAATGAGTGTTTGTCTGAGTTATATAATATAATGTCTGCAGATGGTTCGGTTATTTTAATGTCACTTCACTGATTTTGTTTCATAAATGATTCCTGGACATATTTCAATATTTCTAATTACACAAAACAATGCCCTCAAATGTGAGATTTTAAGGCTGAAATGTGACATGTAATAGTGAAATAAGCACATTCTGATACCTGTAAGAATTCAGAAGAGTTTATCTCATGTACAGAATATAATTTGTATGTCAATGTTTATGAAGGTACATCTTCATGAGAGTTTGTCAGTTCAATAATGTTCAAAACAAATGACATACAGTTCATGTAGCAGTATTTTATTTATGTCAGATCAAATCGTTTGAAATTTTATGTGCATAAACTTAATATGTTGAAAGTTTTCTTGTTTATCAAATTTTACTCCAGCCTAAAAGATGATCCATAATGAGAGTGATAGGAGCGATATGTAAATATTATTCTTGAAGGTGGTTCCAGTGTTTATAACAAATGAAAATACTCAGTGTTGCTGCGAGGAAATTGTATTTAGTTGACATGTTTGTTTAGCAAGCTTGCTTGTGTTTAATGTGATAGTCATTCACACAGACCTCCCAGCAAGGTGAAGACCATGATGCCTGGAGAATAAGGAGTGCGGTCTCTGTCTGTCCTGCACAAGCAGACTGACACACCCACACCCACACCCACACCCACACCCACACCCACACCCACACCCACACCAACATTCATACCGAAGTCCTGGGTTCGACACACCCACACCCACACCCACACCCACACCCACACCCACACCCACATTCATACCGAAGGCCTGGGTTCGATTCCCAACATGGGTATAATGTGTGAAGCCCATTTCTGGTGTCCTCTGCCATCATATTGCTGGAATATTGCCAAAAGTGGCGGAAAACCCTACTCACTCGATCACTTCTGGGAGGTTTGTACAAAGTCTGGCCTGTGCCAAAAGTCATGTAATATTGTATGAGAGGATATCAGGTGAAGTGTTTGAAGATTTAAAGCATTTGTGATATCATACATTCCATTCACTTTTTGTTTTCCATACTTCAGATTAAATCTGTACATACATTGTGTGTAGTTGTCATGGAAACCGAACAAGATGGTGTATCCTCGGCCAAACTTACACAATAATCAAGCAATAGTGTAACAGTGGATTTTACAAGATGGTGTTTTTAACAAAATCGTTCTAATACAATACAGTAACTTTTGTGTGGCTGTATTCAGGATTTTGGAAACATGAATGATTAAATATCATGTTTACTCACTGATTTGTAAGTTACCGAATGTTACTATGCAAACATTTTCAATGAGTACCTGGACTTGTTGTGAGATTTGCATAGATCCTGTAGTACATGGTATGTGTTCTTATAAGTATTGTCAGGTGATCTTCACTGGAAGTTCATATCGGTGTCAACGAGACAGGAATGTGGAACTCTTGTCTAAACCAGCACGCCGGTAACAAGAGGACAACACAGCATGAAGTCTGCACCTATGCAGAATGCAATATTAATATGATTTTCCTACAAATTTTCATAATTTTCCAAAATTGGGACCAACCATTAGTTATTTTGGTAAAATTTTTAATAGAAACCGGATTCTTTTGTCATTCACTGTTTCAAGAAATAAATAACTCTCTCATAAAAAAGGAAATGTACAATTTGAAAAATTTACGAACATTTTCTTTCAGGGCAATTAGCATGTTAATATTGCTATTACAAAACAAAGTAAAAATATTTTTTTGTTTATTTTCCACAGCGTAATAAGCTACAAAACCTCTAGAAAGATATTTTCAGTTGAAATAAATGATTGTTCTGACGGAATGCATGGTCAAGAGAAGCAGTTTCTAACACCAACTGTCTATACTGGGACACAGTTCCATGACAGTCATAACACTGTTGATGTAAAGTTGAGGGAATGTGTCCCAGAGACCCAGGTTTAGGAGTACATGTAATGAATGTCGTTGTATTGTCAGGGATATCTAGGGAGGCTGTAGTATAGATGGTTGTATTGTCAGGGATATGTAGGGAGGCTGTAGTATGGATGGTTGCTGTGGTGCATCACTGTTGCAAATGACCTACACTTGAGATGTGCTTTCAAGTTCCATGCAGATGTAGGAGATAATTTCTAGCTATTTTTCTATGCCATAAACTGACACTCTGTGCATGTGCAGAATATGTGTTGTACTGGAATAAAATATATTAAGAGAGGATGTGAGACTGGTTATTTGTCATTCCATCAAATTCAGCTCATGATCAGTGCTCTTTGTTTCTATGGCCCAACACTCCCAAGTGTAGCAGCAAGCCCATCACTACCTTCAACTGAAGTTGAACAGAGACATTGTGATGTAATAATAACATTGCTTATAAATTTGTAATATTTTATGCTAACATATAGCAACAAGACTGACTGACTGACTGAGTTTGGTTTTACGCCGCTTTTAGCAATATTCCAGCAACATCAGGGCGGGGGACACCAGAAATGGGCTTCACACATTGTACCCATGTGGGGATTCGAACCCGGGTCTTCGGCGTGACGAGGCAATGCTTTAACCACTAGGCCACCCCACCGCCCCTATAGCAACAAGAAAACTGAAATGACCACGAAGGCGTTGCCCAAAGTACAAAAACAGGATGATAAGACATGGATATCTGCCAGAACAACATGAAAGACAAACGGTGATGGAAGATTTACAAATGGATCAATTGAAATCAGTTATGACACCAGGTGTTCACTGTCAGATATACAACGTGTGTTTGAGTAATCTCTCTGACAAATCACTCGAAAAGGTTTGGTAGCTAATAAGTTAAATAAATGTGTATCATAGTCATCTTCAACATCGGTTTATTTCTGTTAGCCACAATGTTGCTCTTTGGTTGGGTATGGCATTTTCAATGGGACAATGTCCCTTCTAGGATTCTATGATATCTTCACCGGAAGATCTATACTATGCAGCAAAGTTGAATCAGCTGTTATTAACCACGACAAAGGGTGAGTAGGACTAAGTAGAAATTGGTTGAATGGTATTGACCTCTAATATTTTTTGGCAATATATTTCCTGAGACGTGACTATTGCCAGTGAAATGGTAGTCCAGTGGGTCGTGAAACACCTGTTTCTTGTTTCTCTTGATGTAAATATGTCCAAATTATGACCAACTGGATGTGTGAGGGATTTATCCTTGTGATTAGAAAGCTGCATGCAAAGTTGTGTTTAGTTCTTGTCAGTTCGTCACTAAGCAGGATCAAGACGCGGTGGGCGAGCTGTCTAAGGCGCTAGGCTAGTAATCCAGCGAGCTTGGAGGTGCCAGGATGGAGCCCACCTGTGACCAGGTGTAAAAAACCTTGGAGTCAACTTTGTGTGCAGACTCTTTCCGTGTTGTCACAACCCCTAGTGTACAGTACACAAGCCTGTGCACTGAAAAGAACCCACAAACCCGTTGGTAGAATACTAGATGGTGGCCACGTGCAAACACGTAGTTGCGGGTACAGCAACGTGCAGTAAACTTAGACAAAGTACTGTGACTATATGTCACAGTCCAGCAGCTGTGACTGGGTACCTCGTTAGGATGAGGCCACAATACCTCGGTGAGCCTAGTGGTTGGTTGGTTGGTTGGTTGGTTGGTTGGTAGGTTGGTAGGTAGGTAGGTAGGTAGGTAGGTAGGTAGGTAGGTAGGTAGGTAGGTAGGTAGGTAGGTAGGTAGGTAGGTAGGTAGGTAGGTAGGTAGGTAGGTAGGTAGGTAGGTAGGTAGGTAGGTAGGTAGGTAGGTAGGTAGGTCATTTTGGAGTTTGTCACAAATGTGCATCCATATGTAGGTATAGGCCTGGCCTTCAAAGTGTTAGCCAATACCTTCTCTAATTAAGGAGTCTGTCCATGGTTCTTCAAGGTTGCGTTTGCTAGTCATGGACCCAACTTTTTGGAAAAAATGCTTTCACTGTAGTCCATGATGGGTTTGCAAGGTTTATACTGCCCCCTATCTATCCGCAAATTAAAGCTTTTTCTTAAGAATATCATTTAATATTTGTATAGACATGTAACCTGTCAGTGCAACCATCAAATATATTAATATCTCTGAACCAATTACTGAACAAGGAATAACAATAATAATATCACGCACTGTGAAGGATATTTGTTTCCAAAATCAATATGCAAGTGGAACTATAAGACGCCTAAGTCAACCATCTTTACCGTAAGAATGAACAAATTTGCTGCACTTATTTCTTTTCGAACTATATGCCCATGTCCAATTTCTAATGTTGATATTCTTCCTCTGTAGGTTGTGCCTGTGTAGTGTCAAGATGGAAATATCAACACAAGCAGCAGCGACTAGTTCGCTGTCTCCTTCCCATGCCATACCCTCTGATTTCAAGTAGAGAAATGACTTTCTCGCTACCCTCCTTTTCCGCCACCATCATTGGCGTTTGCCCATTTTCATCCTTGCTGTTTAGATCATCTAAGCCTTGTGAGATGATGTACTCCACAATCTGTACATTGTCACTTACGCAAGCATAATGGAGTATGTTTCTGTCTGAGTCATCTTTCTCTGACAAATTGCAGTCATTCCTCACCAGCAGATCGAAGACTTTCCTTTGTCCACTCTTTGCTGCTAACATCACCGGTGTTGCACCATTTTCTCCTCTACTCTCCATGTCAGCTACTTTACGTGAAAGAATACTCTCAACAATCTGGACACTGCCTCCATAAGATGCAGCATGTAGCATGTTGTTATTGTCCTTAGTAAACACCTTCAGATCACATTCGTTTTTCACCAGCAGGTCAAAAACTTCTTTTCGTCCATTCACAGCTGCTAACATCACTGGTGTCCAACCTGTGTTATTTCTGCTGTCAATATGAATAATATTACGAGACAGGAGATAGTCACGCGAGAGGAGGTCCTCAACAATTTGAATGTCACCACCAAAAGAAGCTGCATGAAGAATGTTGTTCCCATTATCATCCCTCACAGAAAGATCACACCCTTTCTGGACCAATAGATCAAACACCTTCCTTTGACCATTGACTGCCGCCACCATCACGGGTGTTTGCCCTTCTTCCCCTCTGCTCTCTGTGTCAGCTATCTCACGTGAAAGGATGCAGTTAACGAAATTAACGTTATCACTCACACAAGCTGCATGCAGAATATTATTATCGGTATAATCTTCTGCTGACAGGTCACATCTTTTCCTAGCAAGGAGATCATACACTTTCTTGTGGCCATTTATTGCTGCTGTCATGACAGGCGTGAACCCGTTCGAATCTCTACTGTTAATGTCCGCTATCTCACCTGATAGGAGATATTCAACAATCTCTACATTGTTACTACTGCAAGCGGCATGGAGAATATTACAACCATCTTCGTCTTGTACCTTTAGGTTACACCCCTCACCCACAAGTAGATCAAATACTTTCTTTTGACCTGCCTCTGCTGCCAAAATCACTGGTGTTGCTCCATTGTTATTTTTACTTTCAATGTCAGCAATACCACGTAACAAAATGTCCTTAACTAATACTGCATCGTTGCTGAGACATGCAGCATGAAGGATGTTGCCACCATCACTAACCTCCAAGAGATCACAGTCGTTTGAAAGGAGAAGATCAAAGACTTTCCTATTGCCTTCTCGTGCTGCCACCATCAACGGCGTGTCTCCATCATCACCTTTACTGTTGATGTCAACTAACTTCCGTGAAAGGATGTCCTTAACGATCGTGACATTGTTACTGTAACAAGCAGCATGCAGGATATTTTCACCCTCATCATCAACCACGGAAAGGTCACACCCCCTGACTTACCAGTGCATTGAACACCTCGGTCTGCCCTTCCATTGCTGCGCACATAACTGGTGTTAACCCATCCTCACCTCTGCTCTCAATGTCGACCATCTTTTTTGACAGAAGGTTTGTGACCATATCCACACTGTCACTACAACATGCAGCATGGAGAACAGTGTCACCTAGATCATCCACAACTGACAGGTTGCATCTTTTCTTCACAAGGATATCAAACACTTGCTTCTGTCCGTTCTTTGCCGCCACCATCACTGGGGTCTCCCCATCTTCACCTCTACTCTCTAGGCCAGCTACCTTATGATTCAGGAGATAGTTTACGATAAACACGGACCCACCAGAACACGCAGCATGAAGCATGGTGTTCCCGTTATAATCTATTGACGTCAAATTACATTGTTCATCTACTAGTAAGTCAAACGCTTTCCTATTTCCACTGCACGCTGCTTTCATCAGCGGAGTTTTACCTGACAGGTCCTTTCTCTCAAGACTTATTTCCCCATTTGAAACCAACCCTTTGACAATATCAGCATTGCTGCCAGAACATGCCACATGAAGTATATCGTCACCATTATCTAACATCAATGAAAGATCGCACTTTTCTTTCAGTAAAGTATTGAAAACTTGTTTGTGTCCTTTAGATACTGCAATCATCACGGGTGTAAATCCTCCCGGGCTTACGTTATTGATATCCACTTCTCCTTTGGATATGAGTTGTTTCACTCGATTATTATTTCCCTCAAAGCAAGCTTTGTTGAACATTTGATTTGGGTGTTTTTGAATGATGGTATCTCGCCGAGATGATGTCTCATGGTGTTCAATATCTGCAATGATACGAAATATGTCACAACATCAGTGATGGGATCAGCTCGGTAAGAAGTGCGATGCAGGGATGCCATGCTAAATGACAGACCAGATTTAATATGCATTGATGGCGTTCTGAATACGTTCGTGAGAACGCATGATGGTAAAATCAGACACATGACCTGATCGTGCCAGGGTCATTGGAGCTTACATAGTGCAGGAGGCCCTGTCTTCATGGGATGGGCAACTAGGTCAGCAGAAATCAACCGTGTCGTACACATCTGGATCTACCTACACATCACCCTCGATCATGACGTACTGGAACTCGGTCATGGTCTTACTGAAGAGTGGAACTGCCTTCCGCTCAGCAATATCCAGACACTTACTGGGAGCAACGGAGAAGTTGCCATGGTGTGATCACATACACACTACTGAGAGATGTGTTTTTGGACGACTAATTTGTTTTAGTGTATTTCAACGTTTCAGTTGTGATCAGATATTCTCATTTTGATGCATGTTCAGACTGATTCTTGATGAAATGTTTCTGCTGGCTTAGTGGGGACAAACGGCAACATGTTTTTCTTTTTTACTCTTCTCTACACAATATTGTATTCAGATAGTTCAACTGGCTTGATACACTGAATGGTGATCCTAACCAAATTGGATGTAGTATATGTAGAAAATACATTGCGTAAAGGTACGATCAGGTGGTTCTAACTAATTCAGAAACTGTGGGGCGGTGGGGTAGCCTAGTGGTTAAAGTGTTGGCTCGTCATGCCGAAGATCCGGGTTTGATTCCCCACATGGGTACAACGTGTGAAGCCCATTTCTGGTGTTCCCCGCCTTGATGTTGCTGGAATATTGCTAAAAGCGGCGTAAAACCAAACTCAGTCAGTCCGTCAGTCAGAAACTGTGCGGCTTGTAGGTTGATTAGCTTGATTCTGAATGGAGTGATAAATGATAGAAAGATATGAAAGTAACCCACTTGGAGCTCTTCTTCTGTCTCTGGCAGATAGAGACTCAGACAGTCCCTCGGGTGTTGCGTGAAATATGTTGTCTGTGTAATAATTTTTAATGTCTGAAAATTGAAACATAGATTATATAATCTTCCACAGACGTTGGTAGCAATGCTATTAAAGTATGTGCATGTTTAAGTCCTTCACCGGACGAACCTACATGACAAATAACCACTGGTCGACAGAAATAACTTTACGGCCGGATTCTAGTATCTATATGTAAGTATTTTCTTTCGATCATGGTCGGGCCGTTTCAAATGATGAGATTTGTATTTTCAAAAGAATAGTTCCTGTTGCTGCACTGTTCATAGTGCAAGGGACAGAGAGAGTATTAAGCATTTTAAGAAAAAGAAAACCTTTTTCAAATGGAATTTAGAACCTGGTATGATGACGAGGAGCATTTGACCTGCTTGATAACGGTGTTAGGATCTACACCGAAACATCACATCTATTGCACTAAATAAGTTGTCTATGCATAAAAAGTATTCCTCTTAACAAAAAACAGAAGCCACAAAATCGGTGGTACTTTCTTGTAATACCTATCCTCAGAACATGCCAGTAACGGTATTTGTGAAAACATGGTTACTATTATGACTGAGTTATTTACTCAATCCTACCACATCAAAGAGTTTGCAAATGGTTTTATCATGAGACAACCAAACGGTATCATAGCTTTATATCCCAAACATCCAAACTACTTCCTATTGATAATTTAAGTAATACAGTTCGATCATCCCCTATGTGTAGTTAGTAACGTACATTAATCCAGGGGCTGGGTCATGGTATCACCCTAATGTTTTGTAACGCCACATACGGTAATTTGTCAACCTTATCAGGGCAGTCTACAAGTAATCGAGTTTGGACCATATAGTCCAGGAATTGACATCACAAGCATGGCTACTGAAGACAACTTCTGACCCGGATTTTTATCGATATCTGAATTATCCTTATACACCTACGAGTTTCCTAAGGGCGAAAATGTCGAACGGAGGGCCAGGCAAACATAGAAAACACTAAAACAATGATGTTTTCCAAGGATGGGAGGTAATTTGATGACGTAATTTCAAAGGAGGATAATGTAAAGTCGGCGCCACTGATCTCTTAAAACATCTTTCATCTATTGATTAGTTGTAAATATATCAGTTACCATTATTATATGTTATCCCAGAAACATGTTGGCTTCCGGCACTTGCATGATCTCTTGCACCTTGAACTATCCAATTTTCTGGAAAGAGAAACATACTTGTAACATGCTATTGTAATTGAGCGTGCTTTATCATTATATCAGTAAGATACTACTGTCAATTCCACATAAATGTCCGAATATCTGATGTAGTGGACACCCATTGGCCTGAACAACAAATAAAGTCTTCTCTGGTGTGGACATCTGCCACTACAGGAAATGCGGACTCATCTTCCAAAGCAGCAGTTCTTCAACAACCGAAGTTTATGGAGATTATTTTGGTTACATCTTTGACAGTTTTTCTCGATGACGTTGCGTCTGGTCGTATCTCGTAATGACGTAAGCGGTTCCTGGCTGTGTTGGGTGGACACATCGGAGTGGTCTGGAATAGTCTGGGCAGTGGTCACTGAAGTCTGGAGCAAGTGACAGAGATGTGTCATCCGTATCTATTTGTCCTGTCTTGGACTCGCGACAAATGGACGTCCTGCTCGTGGGCGATCAGCAACTTCATTACTGTTCTGATAACGTCTCATCTGCGATGAAATGGTGTTTGGAAATGTGCAGTCCCCTAACGTTGAGCCATCCCCAACCCTGGAGAGACCATCTCAGTAGCCTCATGACGTCGTGTATTCATGCGTCGTGGCATGACGTAAAGTACACTGCCTGTTTGATTTGTGGAATCATCAAATTCAAACAATTAAGCTTCCCAAATCTGCAGCAGTTTTTGATACTCATGTGCTCGACTCAGTGTATCGAGATGCACATGCACGAACGTGTTGCACATCCCCATGCCGAAACCACTGACGTCGTGAAGCGCTGCGCATGTATATGTGGTTGACTGAATTGACATGCATATCAATAGTATATTGGGTGGGAGCTCAGCAGACACAACATTTGGGGGATCAGGGGGATCAAGGTGGATCACATAATGTCATCCAAGTCACTTGATCATAATAAGGCAAGGAAACTCATGAATATGCAAATGAATGCATGACATCATAGGTCAGCAAAGGTTAACACAGCTATGACGACATCACAATCACCTGTAGGCAACGTAATCAGACTCGCATACCTTATGAAAACTCACCAATATGCATGAAAACTTCACCACTATTCATCTAAATATATTTAGTACCGGTTACATTTATGACAGATAACACATACGCAACAAATAAAGATTCAACAAGGTGAAAACCCACGACCTCTCTGATTTAACCACCTTCAAAATAACAAAGTTTGTACAATACATCTACTCTTACCTATAATGTAAATGTGTCGCTTTACTGGTTAAGGAAACGCCTGCGAATGAGTGAATGAGTTAATATTTAAGGTCAAATCGGCACTATCTCAGCCATAAAACAATTTATACAATAGAAATGTTTACAAAAATAAAAACCTTTTGAAGAGTAAAACCTGTCGACGATGGACAGTAAAAATACTAGAGTATCACAGATATGAATATAAAACTAGCATGTAAATCTAAAACATTTTAATTGAAGAAGACAATACAATACAAAACACGGGCTATATATCGCCAACAACTGAAGGTAGATCACCATACTAGGAATCATGGGGACTTACATTACTTTTGATAACTGCATGGACCCCAGTTGGATTTACACCACCCCTTCAGCCGCTGGTAGGAAGATTTAGCCAAAATTTAAACAACATAAATGCTATGATTAAAAAGTATGGTTGAGCGAAATTGACTTTGAAAGTTTTTGGGACTTATGTACCCTCTCAGAAGGACAATGATTTTACGACACTGTAACCCCCTTTGAGGATACAGCCACTAACAATTGCAGCTGCTAATTCATACTACCATGATTAAAATACCATTTATCTATTTACAAAACATATTATTCAAAACGTATACAATAATTCTATTGCCTTTGAAAATTCAATTATTAAATGATAATTTACATTATAAAGATCCGTAATTGTTTTGACATTAAAATATTTGTCCCTTGTGATGGAAAAATCAATGCGGTCAAGCAGGACATGCTTGAGAAACGCTTGTGTCACTAATAGAACTTAAAGTTAATATTGTGTCGCTCACTGGAATAACTCTGTTGTTTTGGGTGGTGTTTATAGAGGACGTTTCTCGCGGAGATAAGATTGTACATTCCCCACCCCCAAAACCGTGTTGACACAACCCCGTCTGCTCGTGTGGTATTTGATTAAATACTTTCAACACTATACCTCTACTTCACTTTGGAGTAGATAGCTGGGAGACATTAGGTCTGGGCTGTCAGAATTTGAAAAGCTACTGAATTCAGCACGTTATATTCAATTCAGGTGACATGACACCATTGACAATGCAAATGAATCAGAAAGGTTAGGTTGCTAGCTGAAATATGGCAAATTACCAAGCACGTTCTTGTGATGAGAGAGCTTATCTGGGACTTTGAGATACCTGAATTTCAACAATAGCTACGATTCGATTGTCACATACATGATCTACTTGATTTTCACACATTGCTAGTATTATAAGCTTTCGTTCAGATATTGAAGAAAAATAGGGGAGAAGGTCTTCTGCGCTGTAAATAATTCACTATTACTCAAAAACTGCATCATACACTGCAGCTTTAGTCACGTGATGATTCACTCATGACGTGGTATACGTGTTGAAGCATGTCACAAGCCATAGGGTTCTCAAGTCTGATCAGGTTGTCTATAGGTGAAAGGGATGTCGTCATAGCTACGATTCATTCATCTTGCTGACCTATGACGTCATGCATTGATTTGTCTATTCATGAGTTTCCTTGCCTTATTATGATCACGTGACTTGGATGAGCCAATCAACATCTGATCCGCCTTGATCTGCCTGATCCCCCAAAAGTTGAGTCTGCTCCAACCCAATATACTACTCATATCTAATTAAACTGATGGTGCGCTGAAGGTGATGCCCAGTAAAATACATTTTGGCTATGCAGGATATTATACCCTGTCACAGCCTGAGATGTCGTACTTCTCTTGGATCACACAACACTTAAAACTCAATCCTAGAACACAGAACTCATTCAAACAACAGACACCCCTCGACTCCAAAATATATATTTAAAGGTCACATGCAACCAAAACATCAAACATAATTAAAACAAAATTATCACTATACATTGCTGATTATGAAAAAAAACATGTAAACAAAATTATAAGCGTACAATCGCAAATCAAAAGTGCAATATTCTATACATGTCCTTGGGTTTACTTCCCTAGAAACGAAGCAGCCGGGTTACCGAACCCAGTCAGAGCGGGTGGGTGTGTACTCAAGTGTAAAGTCTGGTTCATTTGCAAGTGCCCTCACGGCTCATTGTGTGTGTATATAGAGATGTTGAGTTTTGTAAATACATGCTCATTTTTTTGTGTATAACATTTTGCAACCAACAGACATCATAACATGTCATGTGTACAAGTATCACACCTGCCTATCTGGGTAATTACATAATGTGACAGAGACCGAACTCGGGCCATAAATCAATGCGTTTTGTTTATGGTGTATAGCCTGATAGGTGTTAAGTTCAAATTGCATGTGGTCAGTGATCGAAGTTGTGTATTGAATATTGTTATTAGCAGAGAGGCAGGCAGACACACAGGTGTCAATAAAACAGACATTGAGTTTTGTCTGTGACAACGACATATCTATATCACAGTTAGAAATTCTGTCAACGCTAAATAATGACATTGCTTTCAAGTATCGAACTGAGAAAGTGACTTGGTAAGAAGAACGTGGTGACAAATGAAATTATACAGTACAGTTGACATTGAGTGAACGCAACCAGTGTCAAGTAAAAGCATACGCTTAAACAACATGTAAATTAATTTGCTCACGACAATCCGAACATAAAACACAATCAGTTTCAAGTAAGAGCATGCGCTTAAGACAACATGTACATTAATTCGCTTACGATAATCCGTTCAAATAAACATTAAATCAACACATTCACTTTCATCATGTGCGCAGAATTCCCTCTGTGAAAGGTGGTTAATGTTGAAAATATTGACAAATGTTCCACACATGGAAACATGCGAAAATATGAAGGACGACATTATTATTTGTGAATTCGTTACTGGAAACTTGGGCATAACAAAGGCGAAACGCGAATTCATTATATTGGATTTATGTGCTATGTCCTCTACCACGGGATCTCCGTGATCAGCAGCACTTGCATGTTCACTGCCTCTCATCGACACTAATATTCGCAAATATATTTTCAAAAATCGATATTACATGTAAAGACATATGAATAATATGTTTTTGTCATTTATGTTCTTGGAACTTTAATTTATATGTGAATGTAGAAATATTTGCTTCTCGGGGTCAAATATCAGGGACCGGTTCGGCTTGGGGCCGGTTCGGGGGTAATTCTTCACTGCGCATGTGCTATGAGCGCAGCCCAGCTGTTGAAACCAGTTTTCCCCCAAGAGCTGGGGGAAAATTAGTGAATCGATTTGAACTCCGATTTCGTTCGTTATTTTTCATCGCGTTATTTTTCAACTTTATAAGTTGAATTTGCATTTCTGATTTGTATCGGTAAGGTATCAGAATCTGCAAAGTTGTGTTTTACGTTGCATGTGACCTTTAACGAAAATCATAAACTATAAAAAGCCATCAGCACACCTATCCATTTTCCAAATGTGGTACATCTGTACCCGAGCTATACCCGGTTCGTATGCTGTAAAGCAGTTTATGTAGAAAGTGGTTATTTACCTATATTCGGACCTTGTTTTTCTCTAGGTCTGCTTCTTTTTGTCTTTGGGACAGACTTAGGTCGGAGAGCTTTCTTCTTTCGTTTCAGGGAATCCATGACACAGATCTAAAAACAACTGAATGAAAAGCGGCATAGTGCTGAACTACATGTGTCTTTGGTACATCATTTGGACAATAGAATGTGAACCGATATAGCCAGTGATTGTTCTTCAGTCATTCCCCAGTTGTTAAATACTCCTGTAGAAGTAAGCAACATGTCTATATACCTTTCACTAAACGTTTCTAACTTGTGCTTGAATATCACTCTAAACGGCACAATTAGAACGTTAATATGGCAATAATTATAGAAACGAATTCGAAGTGGTGATAACATTGACTTAGCTACAACAATCACTTTTCAGAATTAGGCTGGGTTTGGATATCTGAGGTAAACATTTGTGATCGACACACAACCACTTGTCTTGACGTAATGTGAGATAATACACGCATGCCCCTACCCCGTACACAAAAGCCTTCCGCAATGTTCTTTTCTCTTCCAGAATGTTTCCTGTCCTAGAAGATTCAAGATTATATGGCAGCCTCTATACAACTGTCCTCTATTGAATCGTTATTAAAGAAATGGATGTTTCAACTGCTCTACAAAAAAATCATACAGGCAAATGTAAACTTACTTACATCTCGTCTCCTTGGTATATAATGCGCAGTTGAAAAGAGCTAGAGTTGGTGACTGCATATGTGCACTAAACAGCTTATCTATGATCACATGGTGTTAAACATGCCCCTGCCTGCAGCCAATGTTTACTCTAGATAAGACTGACAACGGGCCAGACACGTGAAAATCCGGGTTAAAATTAATCTTCAGTAACCCATGCTTGTCGTAAGAGGCGACTAACGGGATCGGGTGGTCAGGCTTGCTGACTTGCTTGACACATGTCATCGTATCCCAGTCGCGCAGATCGATGCTCACGCTGTTGATCATTGGGTTGTCAGGTCCAGATTGGATTATTTACAGACCGTTGCCTTATATCTCAAATATTGCTGAGTGCAAAACAATAAACTAACCAATCAACGACAATGGCATGGGCAATACTGGCGTCATTACAGCGTTAACGCTTGGTGACAATGGGATTGTACCAATATAGCATATATGTTCATGTGTCGCTAGTTACTTTATTTAGCCGATAGTTGGTATAAACATAAAAACATACATACAAAAGAAGAGGAATTGAGTGTTAAAACAGTGTTACTAAAATTACTGACATTGAATTTCACTTTGTGTGATTGATATTAGCATGACCCCTCGAGGAGTGGAGAAATATATTGTATATACGTCATTGCATTCATACTCTTTGGTCCTGTTTATGTTTGAAGTGGAGTGACAAAAACTGTCAATGTTTTTCAATCCACTGATCTGTCTAACGTTAATGATATTGATACTGCAATGTCTAGTATCTAATCAACAGTTGCAATATTGATCGCACTAAACCTCGATAAATGTATGTAGCATGACGGTTGTATCACCAGGTAATACAGCATTACGAATCACATTAGCATATAGTCTTGTATGCTTGCGGACGTGTCGCTAAATTTAACTTATATATGGAACACACGGAGAAAAAAAACAGTAAGCTGGTAAATTTTGGCCATGTGTTTGTGTAGCTAATGTTTCTTTAGCTTTAAACAAAACGTTTGGATTCAATTGAAATATTAATGCAGAATGTGATTTCAGCCCCAAATCCAAGATGGCCACCAGAACAGAAAATATTGCATGAATCCAAAACAAAACCTGAATGTTATATACCAGGTTTATTTGGTAAGGAGTATACTATATTACAAGTCGTTAAATCAAGTTTTATTTTGCTTTTTAGTCTTAAATTTAAACCAAAAGCTATTTTTTGCTTTAAAAATCCAAGATGAGTGACAGTCACAATGATTACCAACACCTTACTTTAGCCAGTTCATAACGAGTACAATGTGACCGGGAATATGCCTCTTGTCCTATTCATGTTCTGTAGAAGAGGTCTTATACTAAACTGTGATCCAGGAATAATCTTTCAAAAGAAATATATCGAATATAAAATTCTTCACATCTATCAAATGGCCAAAAAGCATACTTCTATATACTTATAAGAAAAAACATTAGCAACAACCAACTCGCGATAAATGGAAATGCGATCTAGTTGGTGTCAGATTGGTGGAAGATTTTGCGCGTGACTTTGTTTCTTTCTTCGTGAACAACTACGAGCGGGCTTTTCCACACAACCAAAGTATTCTTGGGAAACATAATAGGGTCTGGCAGATGTTTCATTTAACAAGAAGTTTCATTTCTGGATAAAGCAACATTTGTAATCTGGGTTCAAGCTGAAGTAGTCAAATCAAGTAAGACACCAAATCCACATTGATAACAGACATTCTAACAGCCTCTTGCTTGGTGAATTCCCAGCTGCTAAAAGTTTTGGCACTTCACTGTACTACGATCAAACTGATTAGCATGATAAGGTGTCTGACTCTGAAAGTGAGTGTTCGAATCCCGGCTAAGAATCAACCTAACAAAATTATTACAATATGTACTTTACTTAGAAAGTGTACATATCTAACTATAAGATATGTTACATTTGAGCACTTTCTAAATTGCATTGTTATTCATAGGTTTTGATACTGATGGGAAATGTCTCTTTGTACAATACAGATGGTATTGCTGGCTATGCTAGCCCTAAGCTACGCAATTCTCAATATTCATCCAGCTTAGAAATTAGGCTGGGGCATTTGCCACCTGGGAGTAAAGCTAACGTGTCAGCGTTAATTCAAGAGTTGGCTCTCTTGTTTCCGGAAGCAATGCGACTGGAGTTCACCTAGTTTTCATGTGTTGAAGCCTGATTTACATGAAACTTGTGAATCCTGTTTCAAACTCTTTAAAAATCAAGAATCGATTACTGTATCCACTAAATCAGTCAAGCTTTTATCTTTTCCTTCATACATGTTTGTACGCATTAAAATATGAATGAATTTTAATTAGAATGGCTATCATTATTTTGCCTATGGTAAGTTGTGAAGTGGGACTCAGGTTAATGTCACATTTGGCAGTGTTATGGTTATAGTGTGGCATACAACTTTGATTGACTGACTCCCACTCTATGTCGTACATATATAGAACGTCATGCTAGTGCATTTGGATGTTTTGTATTGAACGAGAATATGTCATGGTAGCAGAGAAACGAGTTCGAAGACATAACATCTTCGATGTCAACACAAAACTCCCAAATGCACTAGTATGACGTTCTATATTTATTATATACCCTCTTTTCTTGTATTAATATGTTACTTAATAAAACAAATCATAGCGTAGCGATAATATTTTCACGCCTCTCGATACTTCCGCATTCAGGTTAGTTTGACATTACGTATCACTGCGCGCGTGGACGGATCACGCAACTGACCTGTATAGCTCCTGGATACAAAAACTGTATCATTTGTACCTTTCCTGTACACAAATGCAGCTGATATACCTTCCCGTGTACACAAGTGTACCCCATATGTACATGTTTATGTGCAGGAAGAAATGGTTGCATAATGTTACACATGCAGCCCCGAGAAAGAAGCGCGGTACACCTTGGGGACTGCAAATACTGTGACTGACATATATTGAGACACGGACCCATGAGACGTATAGTTGTCAATTATTCAGATGTGTCGACACTGACCCCATATACCTGACAAATGCATTGTATATATATGCGGAGAGAGAGTGGCTGCATGTGGTTAGTTTTTACCATCAAAAACCATAAAATGTGTCAGCGAATACATATGTGTCGGTCTGAAAGAAGTATAATTTAAGTCCAGGCGTTTATAATCGAGGATACGGTACATAAAGTTAAGAAAGCACGGCAGCCTTTTAAATTGTGTATTGATGTAAACAAAATTATTAACACAGAAGCCATATATGGTGCAATGATATCGTATATAATCAATACATTCCTGATTCGTTTATACTTTTGCACTTTGTCTGCATGCACAACAATAACGGTGTTCTAGGAATAAATATTATGGGTATTATCAGTTTCAATACACAATTTAACAGTATTTCCTTTAAGGAAATATGCATATTTTATTTTCCTTTCATAACTGATGTTTTTATATTGATTTGTCTTCTATGGTTAAATTCTATAGATTTTCATACTAGTGATAAATTTTTATCTGTGATCATCCAGTTATTTTACTGTCCATTAATGTTGACAGCCTTTATATTTTGAAATGTATCTAAATGTATTGTTTATTATTATCGTAGAATAATATAATTTGACCGAGTCACAATAAGGCTGAATTACTGCCGACGTGGCTTACATTACTCACTCACTCATCACTGATGAATCGACTCCAAAAATAGCACTGATACGGCGTTGTGCAATATTGTTAGTTTGGCTCCACGAATCGGAATGTCATCCTACAAAGCTCTTCACAGCGATAACGTAGTCTGAAAATAACTCACTTGAGGATGCGACATATGCACCATGTGATGTTGTGGAGTTTGTATGTAAAGGTCAAGGCTGAATAGGAAACCTGAAGTAAGTGACTTCTTTGAGTGGCATTTTAGAAGTTGGGAAGTACAATATAGAACAAACTTTATGGATAACAACTTCTTTTTATTGGTGAGTGCGACGTTTCGATACAGATTCTTGTACCGTTGTCAAGCATAATGGGACATGAAGATGGGGGAGGTGTATATATACTGGATGTGACAATGTGACAAAGAAAACAACATAATTAACATAATTAACATAATTGGTTAGGCAGAAGGCTGATGAAGCCAGAGAGTAGACTACTCTCTGGCTTCATCAGCCTTCTGCCGGGAGTACTGCACTTTACCGGGCGCACTTTTTCAGATTTAATCAGCGCTGCTGGGGCTCGAACGCGCTCAGCAGGATTAGGGGGATTAGGGGGAATTACGCTAATTAGCCGACACGGTACCTCGGGACCACGGGTGCGATCACAGCCAGCATGTGCTCGTTTAACGGGTCATTACCACAGTGGCACTGCTAGCCCTGCGCATGCGCAATGGTTTGTTTTCATTTCGCGCGCATGCGCAGTGCTCAGTCTCAGCCTTTGGCTGAGAAGATGTAAAGCTTCCCGACGTGTTTCGTCCAAGAAAATCAGACAACAAGCGAAACACGTCTGCAGTTTCCTTTTGGAAACCAAGCTGCACTGACGAGTCCTGGTGGGACGAAACGTGTTTCAAAACCAATTGGATGCAATGGAATTTACTCTGTTCAGAGGTAAGTTAAGGGGTGCCCAACCCTAACCCTAAACTCTAACCCTAAGGATCGTAAAGGGGTGCCCAACCCTAACCCTAAACCCTAACCCTAAGGATCGTAAAGGGGTGCCCAACCCTAACCCTAAACCCTAACCCTAAGGATCGTAAAGGGGTGCCCAACCCTAACCCTAAGGATCGTAAAGGGGTGCCCAACCCTAACCCTAACCCCTAACCCTAAGGATCGTAAAGGGGTGCCTCAGAGCTACAGAGCAGCCGCGCTATAGCGCGATGCGCGATGCGCACTGATTGCTCATTAGCGACCTTTCTGCGCACGCCGGGCTGCGCCCGGTAAACTGCATTCTAGCCCTCACAGATCTCTCAGGTGTGATCCTACGTGTGCTTGCAAGAAATAACCGGTGACAATGTCTGACCCGACGCCTAACCGTAATCCCGAAATCAAATACAAGCAAGTAAGT